TAGGTATCATATTAGTATAGAGGTCAGATAATTTATACGACGCTATAAAAGCAGATATTTTATCATTGCTCATGTAAGATGGAAGTAGAGGCCATGGCACCATATCATGAGCATATTTTTATATTGAACTATCATTGGGCACCAAAGATGTGTATACGACGCTATGAAAGTTCAGAGAACTAATAGAGTTATTTTTCACTAAAAATAAAATCGATCGGACCACTTTCGCGATTTGTAGAGTGGTTACAAGAAACTTCCAGTGAAAAATTGAAAAAACCCGGAAACACCACCTTAGAGTTTTTCGATTTCCTTCATATTTTGATGACATGATATTGTTTTGAGTACAATACGATGGCGAAATTTCAAGTCGATATGTCAAAGGGTTACGGAGATATATCGATTTATGATTACCACAGAGTACAGAGACAGACAGACAGACCACACACAAAAACCAAAGTTGCTCAAAATTCGATGGGGATCATTTTCTCCAGAGTAACTATACCTCTATCTCGCTTAGTTTCCGAAATAGCATTTTTGGCAAGGCCGTAGTATACTCCACTATGTATAGCGTCGTATAACAAGGATTTTCGATCGAATTATCAATGATTACGGAGATATTCTTATGAGATGAATGTGTCACGTTTCATTATTGTATTATAAGAACACTAATGTGAAGAAATGGAATTTTTCAGAAGAACTTGAAATCATGGAAAAACTGAAAAACCGTAAAACTTTGTATGTTTGGCTCAAGAGAATCCGAATGAGCTGACCTCCCATCTCGATCCGTATGACTAGGCATCAACTATTGGAACACTCGGTATTGGTGAATCTACTGGTAGGAAGTTCTTTGATAATTTTACTCTTCATAGCTTCATAATGATTTAACAATACTATGGACCATACCTATTGAGGAATTCGGCTATAGTTCACGATATGTTACATAATTATATCATAGATTAAAATTATATGCGATGATATACCTGTAGTCAGGGATTTTATGAAATGCCGGATTGAAAATGAATAAGTAAAATGTCTGAAAACAAATATTGTGATATTATTGTTTATTTCACATTCTGGTTACTATCACTATAACTAGTTGATACCTATACAATACCAGACCAAAAGTAGGTACTATCAGAAATTATACACTATAATCTCTGGTACTATTGAGTCTGCAAGGACAGAGAAAATACAGTCAATGCTGACACAAAGCTCACTTTGGCAATATACAGGGTGATCCATGAGAAGACTCACATATTGAATGATGAATAGGGGAAATTAAGACGAGTTGATGCAGGGTTCTGCATCTCACCTCCCGTGTTCTATAGCTCAGTTATCAGTTGAGTCAGGATTTTGATATTTTGCAGACCTCAATTGTATCATTGGGCGCATACCAGAATCGATTGAACAGGGTGTCCCAAAAAAGTGTGACGTCATAATTATATATTTTTTAAATGGCATGCCATATATTTCAATGCACATTTGAGTGCTTCTAGTGGTCACCTACATACTATCTTGGGGAACAATTTCAAAATTTTTTAGAAGAAATCTAAATAATTTGAAAAAGAATCTATAAATGTTTATGTACACCCTATGTATTTTCAACATTCAAGGAGAATTAGATAGTAGACATGGAACTCTACAATTTCCATATTTAGATATACGGAGACACCCTGTACATTCTTGAGGAAAAAGAGTGTGATAATTTCAGATAATGAATGACTAATGCCTATGAATCAGATATAAATTTGAATCGGTATTTAGGCAACATGAAAGTCGTTTATTTATTAAATTCTGGCTGTGTTCGAAACTGAAAATACACTGAGATCGATTCTAACTCAAACAAATAAGACGAAAAATGAAGAACAATAGTCAAAAAATTGTATTCACAGTATAAACCTTGTGTTTGTGGAAAGTTTTGTACAGATGAAACCAAGAGACCTTTTTCAGTAAGGACGAAGGAACATAAGTAAAAGAAAAGAGTCATCGACAAATCGAAACTAGCTGAACATATCCTTACTGAAGATGGGCAACATATGGCAGAAATGGCAGAATGGAATGATATTAAAATCATTGGAAAATAAGATAACAATCAGAAGAGAAAAGTCAAGGAATCTGCTTGCATTCTTCTGAACGGAGACAATAATTTTGCTTCCTGTTCAGTTGATATGGAAAGAAAATGGTGTATTCAGTACTGAAATCTGAAAAAACAAAAATGGTAAATTCCAGATCAATAAATGAAAACATCATGTAACTTTTTGATTGCCAACGTCACCAATTGTCACTGAGAACGGAAAAGTATCGAGACAAATGAGAAATTGCTATTCAAATATCTATTTTTCATGTTTAGAACGGGAGCAGATTCGTTCCCGAAACGTCCAAAGCTAAGTGAAAATCTGATATTTTTCTATATACCTTTATTTCTCTTCTCCAAACCTTTTTCAATACAAATTGTCACTGACAAGCTGGTGAATTTTTCTTTTGGGCTCTCTGATGAAAAAATTCTTTAAACGCAGTGACATTTTGGGGCAAATCATCTGATTTGTCCTCACTACACTGAAATAGAATTTATATTTCTATTCCATAGAAACGAGGATAGAAAAACCCAAAAAATCTGGAATGATGAATCGTTTATTAGTTTTTTTTTTTATAATGGCACATTCGCCATATCAAACATGTATATGTATATAAGTCTAAGAAATGGATGAATCTACATTTTCGAGAGTGCAAACAAGGGAGTCGTTAATCTATGAAACAAGTGAAAAGCATTTCACGAAACTTTCAATCTCCTTCTGAAAAGATTGGTTCAGTAAGCCAGTGAAGTGTCTTGAACAAGAATCATTAAATGATTAACAGTTGAATTTCTCGAGATATCAATGCAACTATCTGTGCGATGAATAACAATTTCAAATCATAGATAAACTATTTATTTGGATAACAAGCATGTGGATAATAAAAAATCAAATAATGCTCATTATCATTGCATTGGTGGAGATAATGATGTTTTTTCCAAATTAATGTAGAATCATCCTTTGTTTAAATTAGACTGGGTGCTTTTTTTTTTTTCATTGAAGAATAACCAGGACCGGGATAAGACTATTTTCTGACCGACCGTAAATAGTCAAGATATCACAATTCGATTTATTTATAATTATTGTTTCTTCAATCTGTCATAGTATATACTATGATACAATTATGTTGTGGTACTATTCAATGAATGTAGTGACTGGCGCCTATTTCACTAAACGTTTATTCACTACCGACTCCTCTGATTTTATAGTTTATGCACAGTCAGTTGGAAAAATACATCACCGCAAGCCGTCGGTCCCTCTGATAGTTCATAGTATGCGGCAGCGCTGCACGACACTCGTTTGATGATCTGTTCAACTGACTTTGCATGAACTATACCATACGTTCAGGTTAGGGTATTAGTGTTAGGTTAGTTAATCAAGATTTATCTAACCTCTTGGACTATCGGATGAACTTCATAAGGTTGTACAAAGTTCGTACCTTACGATAATGTATTTTGCAATCTGTTTGATTCATCAACCTGCGAAAGATAAAATAATAAAAATACCCAGCGTTCAATAACTGATTCCAAACCCCTCTTAGAACCATATCAAAATTCATCAACGTGTGTCGCTATTATGAAGCATTATATCTCACACTTAGATTCCAATCAGATACGAGCACGGACTGGTGATATGCCACATTCACTCATTTCTGGACATCATTGATGGAACACCGCAGGAAAAACAGCGACTTTTCACTTCTCTATAAAATCTGCCACGGAAATGATGATCTCGGCTAACAGTTCATCACTGACAGATAACAAAAGGCTAACAGGCAGCACATAGAACAACTTTTTGTCGTCAACCATGCACGAGGTAAGTCACAGAGCTCCAGAATTCTCTGCCTGATAAGTATACTTTCACAAAAGTTCAAAAAAATTTCAATACCAATCTTCTCTCTCTATCCTTCCTATAGGTACGCGCACTTTGTTTTGCAAAAATAATAGGAATTCCCGCTCGTGCACTCCATAAAATTGAAAAAAAAATGATGTGTCGCATTTCAATTACGAAACAATTTTCGAATGTCATGTTCACCTGGTGTATGAATTAAAGACAACGTTATCAACTTGTTCTTTGATAGTAGCATGAGAAAGTGACCATATAAGCCTCTCTAGATATATATAATAATTTCTTATAACTTTCAAACCTTACATTAGATGAAAGTCCGTATATACTACTAATAGTATATTATGTAGAAAGTGTTATGAACGTCATTCCAGTAACGAGAATTTTGAGCTCGCGCGCAGCAAAGCGTTACATACTATACTTTTTCTACGAACTCATAATTCCTTTCTTCGACAAGATCCCATAATTCTGAAAATTATAGTTCATAACCTATCGGCTAACCTACAAAATAATTGAGAAATAATTGAAGAAACATTGCAGAGATATAGTTTAGAAACTCATCTACGTATCGTGCGCTACCGCCGATATCTGATATATGAATATTATCATTTTCTGTATCATTCTATACCAACAGAAGGTAATATTTTTTTATGTTCCTGGATGGCTTTGGATGCGATGTTAATAACTCTGTGTATCGTATCTTCATGAAAGGATCACCATGAAATTCGGCAAAAAATTCATCAACATTTCGTGCAACATTTTGTTCAGAATGACTGAAATAATGGAATCATCGAAATTCGACAGGGGTTAGTTCACTCTATGAAACTTACGGCATCATTTTCTTCTTCAGACATTGATGAAGAATGTATTCTACAAATAAATATTCAATGTCTGTCTATTATTGTTATTATCATGATCAGTATAATTATTATTGCGTTTTAATTCATGAGATATTTGGTAGCGGAACATGGAAATAAATTGATGCTTCGTTGAAAAAAGTCAACTTTTCTATCAAATACTGTCCTGCTCTCTGAGGCGATTGGGATTGAAATATATATAAAGGTAATAAAACTACGAAAACCATTTAATTCAGTATAGTCCTTCGATTCATTATAATAGGATAAAAATATATATATTCAAATATGTACAAGTCAAGTGTGTATATAATTCTGTTCTTCATAGCAGTGGAATTTTCATCTGCATATTTGAAACTTGAGGTGAGTACAGTGAGAAATAATATAATAGGTCGCAACAAGCAGCATCAGTACTCGAAATGCTGTCTTGGAATCTTCACATTTTTTAATGAATCAATCAATTTTGATGTTGAGTGAGGAGTGGCTTGAAACGTACCGCGTACGTACTAAGTTTCATTTGGCATCATAATATGTTATGCATAAAATGACCAAGAGGGTACAAAACTGAACATTTTGTAAATTTTCGAAAACAATCCCAATATTACTATATCCCTATCCACTTTGATGACCTTCTATTTTTTAACTCATTAGTTTGTCTTCATTGATTCATGAGATTTGTCATCGAAATTCCAGAATTATTTCGAAAAAATGAGACGTTATAATAAATACACTCAGGTTCAGTGTTCTGATATGAATTTTTGGTTTCATCTATGGTTTCATCATCTGGGCTGATTCCTACCCAGACAGCACCAGATATTCCATGAATCTCCCTATCATATTCCTTTTGGAATATTGGAATATTCTAGAAATAATCTGGAATATTACGGAATATCTGTGGAATATTCTCTGAATATGCGAATGGGAATTCCTCAGATAATCATAGAATATACCCAAAAGAAAATTCTATGTTGAATGTTCCTGGAATATTCCAATGAACATATTCTAAAATAAAAAAAAGTGACCCAAGTAGGGATCGAACTCGTGACCTCAAGGCTATTAGAGCAACGCCTTAACCACTAGGCCAGTAATCGAATTGAATAATGTTATACATATCAAGTTCTTGTGAGAGCATTGTTCAAAATCGGATCATAAACACTTTTTGTTTCAAAATTCCCTTACATCTAATTGATGTTCTATACTCACATCTCTGAAATAATAAATGTTATTTATGTGTTGAGAAACATAGGAATATTCATGGAATATTTCATGAATATACACCACAGAATATTCAGATGAGAATATTTCATGAATATACCGCACAGAATATTCAGTTGGGTATATTTCATGAATATACCGCACAGAATATTCAGTTGGGTATATTTCATGAATATACAACAGATAATATTCAGTTGGGAATATTCCTGGAAGATTCATACCTGAATATTCCCTGAACATGTCCGACTATTCACTTTGGAATATTCCTTTTAGATGTTCTAGAAGCATGTATATATTCTAGGAATAATCTATGAATATTCGGAATATACTCCTCCATTTTAGCATATTTAGAGAATATTCTATGAATATCCAGTGCTGTCTGGGTATAGACTTGTTGTTGAGTTTTCTTTACCTTCCCGCAGAAATCTGTGAGTTTTATATCAGTTGGTTTTCTATCTTTGTGCATCTCCAATTTCCTGGTAGGTGATATTTTCTTGTTCTCGTGAGCCTGATGATGGCATATATATGCCCGAAGCATATTCCTACAACCCTTAATTTGGAAAAATATACTTCGTGGATATGACTGTACGGTTTACTACTGTTAATGTTTTCGGGTCACAATATTTTTTATGGTTTATGCAATAATTGTTTTACGCTATAGGTGATCGTTGTGTTTCAGTTAAGAAGAATTAGATTATTCCAACTGAAATTAAAGAACCCTTACGGTAAATGACTATTCAAATATAAATCCAAATTCTCAATTCATCTCCCTTCATTCATGCATTCGAGTTGAAATCGATATCCTATTGAATAGTCGAATTATTGAAAAAAAAATTATTTGAATTTCAAACTCTGACGTCCAGTAAGGCGAACCATTGGTCCCAGAAAAAAATAGGCTTGAGGAACGTCATATCATTTTTGTTCCAAGAATACACGTCTTGAAGACGTATATTTGGGTTGGGCAAGAGTATGGTAACAGGTGAATATCTCAGTAACCGTTTGTTGCCACTTCTTCAGTTCATCCGGAATTGAATTTAACTTCCTCGTTCTAAATAGAATACCCTGTATTTCATTGAATTTTTATATTCTTCCTCAGAAGCTGATTTCATAGATCCATCACACTTGGAATCTAGCGAGAATGATTACCAAGATATAAGGTGGTCAAAACCTATAGTTTTTTCAATTTTAGGATATTTTTGTGTCGAAACTATTCATTATTGCTCGAAACAGGTTCAATGAATCTTTCTTAACTTTTGATTTACCATCTACTGACATTTAATTGGAACAGATACATTGTGATCAGAATTCTGAATCTTGAACCATCCTGTATTTGTTTCAATTAAAAAAGTCAGTAGAAAGAAAATCAAAAATTAAGGACGGACATGTGAACCGTTTCAACCAATATAGAATGATTTCGACACAAAAAAATCGTATAGTTGAAGAATCTCGATTCAAAGCACCCTATATATCTGTAATCATTTTCTATAGATTCCAAGTATGATAGATCGATGAGATCAGTTCTTCATTGAGAATCTGAAAATTCTATTCAAAATTAGGAAGGTAATAATAATTCCGGAATAACTGAAAAAGTGGCAACATTGGCGATAACGTTATCAAATCCGCCATGTTTTGATATCACCTAATAGACATACATTCGGAAAAAATCTAAAGAACGGTTACAGATAATATGTTCACCTGTTTCCATACTTTTGCCTCATCCTGTATACTGTTGAGGGATTGACCTCCTTCTCTTCACGGACCCCTTGAATATGGGCAAATATCGGATGAGAATACCACATTCGCCACTCACAGGTTTAGGATATGTTTGTCTAAAACCATTGAACTGCCATTGTTGATGCGTTTCAGATCTCGAATATCGATTACCTTTCACAAATATGATCACAATATTAAGATATTATTTTGAAATTTCGAAATTATTCTACATGTCAGATTAAAGGTAGATATTGGAATATAAAATACGAATTCGTTGGAAATTATCATGGGTTGGTACCGACTATTGAGAAAAACCAAAAATTAATGAGAACTGTATAGGAGCAAAGCAGTGGCAATTTATAAAGAAAACGTTTCCTTCACAGGAACTTGGAGAGAAACTATCGAAACTGGCACCGGTGTTACACAATACTTGTGTCAAAAAAACAGGAATACCCGAAGCTACAATATCAAGCATGAGAGAAGGAAACTTTGAAGAAGAAGACAAATCAGAGGTAAATATTGGTAACATATGAGAATTTGAAATCTTACATGGTGTTCCATAAATATTGAAGCGATAAATGAAGTGAGTATACTAGAAGATGACAGAACAAAACAAATTGATATCGACGCTTTTTGCACATAAAGCAAACAACATTTTTTCGATCGATTCACATTGATTTTTATTTCAAAATTTCTTCAGGAGTCATTTATAAAACCATAAATGTAATGGTGATTCTTAAAATTGTTCTACAATAACATTAACAAATTGAACTTAATCATTTTCATAAAACCATATTTATCTGCTTTTTGAGTTTTATTTCAATTTCAATATTGCGGCTGGTGCAATTTACTAAGAACAAACTTCATTCTCCGTTATTTCTCAAATAATATATATGAAATTTTATATAACTTTTTGAGGAATAATGAATGTCATGCATGATGGTTCTAGAACATTATAGGTATTCTCTTTCGTGCTCTCCAAGCAAGAACTGATTATTTTTAAGGAGGCGCAACCGGGTAAAACAAATGGGACAATAGAAATCAATAAAGTCATAAGAAGCCGTTAAATAGTTATTTATGAAACTAGTGAAAACAAGGGTGTTTGTTGCATGATGCGTGAAAGTTCACTTCAGCCCAAGTGGTATAATTAATGTGAAGTTGTCCACGAATTTCTGGCCACGCTTTATGACGTAGAGACTATCGATATCGGGATGGAGGAAAAATAGCGCGCGACGTTACCAAATATTCCCAGCTGTCCATAGACATTGTTCGTTCGTGATTTTTCCACTTGAACCTATATTGCTAGGCAATTATATCTTCTAATTAATTGATAATAAGAAATTGAACAACTGGTAGGGGCGGTCTAAAAAAATAATTCACTTCTCTCCGTATTTTGAAAAATGATCAAATTTGATGCTTGACAAATCGTCAGGGCGAGAAAAAAATAAAAAATGGTGGAGATATATTTTTTTCCTTAAAACGGCGGTGAGTGCCTCAATGAAAATGTCAGCACGGTGTTCTTCATGAGATTCTTATACGAGGAGATCAGAATTTGATCGGCAAATCGTACGTACGTACAACAGGGCGAGAAAAAAAAGGAGAAAATATATATTTTTTCTTTGAAACGACGGTGATTGCCTTGATGAAAATGCGTGCTGAAATTTTCATCACCGTGTTTTTCAAGTGTTTCTCATACGAGGTGATCAAAATTTGAATCTTGACAAATCGTACATGGCGAGAAAAAAATAAAAGTTGGTGGAAATACATTTTTGTTCTTTGAAACAGCGGTGAGTGCCTCGATGAAAATGTCAGCACGATGTTTTTCATGAGTTGCTCATACGGGGTGATGAATATTTGATGCATGACAAATCGTACAGGGCGAGAAAAAAATTAAAAATGGTGAAAATGTATTTTTTTCTTTGAAACGGCGGTGAGTGTCTCGATGGAAATATCAGCACGGTGTTTTTCATGTGTTTTTCACACGAGATGATCGAAATTCGATGCTTGACAAACTGTAAAGGACGAGAAAAAGATAAAAAATGGTAAAAAAATATTTTTTCTTTGAAACGGCGGTGAGTGCCTCGATCGAAATGTCAGCACAGTGTTTTTCATGAGTTTCTCATACAGGGTGATCAAAACTTGATGCTTAACAAACCGTACATGTTAACAAAAAAAATTAAAAATGGTGAGAATATATATTTTTTCTTCGAAACGGTGGTGACTGACCCGATGAAAAAGTCAGGACGGTGTTTTTCATGTGTTTTTCATACGGGGTGATCAAAATTTGATTCTTGACAAATCGCACAGGGCGATAAAAAAATAAAAAATGATGAAAATATATTTTTTTCTTCGAAACGGCGGTGAGTGCCTCGGTGAAAATGTCAGCACCGTGTTTTTCATGTGTTTTTCTCACGGAGTGTTCAAAATTTGATGCTTGACAACTCGTACAGGGCGAGAAAAAAATAAAAATTGGTGAAAATATATTTTTTCTTGAAAACGGCGGTGAGTGCCTCGATGAAAATGCCAGCACGGTTTCTTTCATAAGTTTCTCATATAGGGTGATCTAAATTTGATGCTTGACAAATCATACAGGGCGAGAAAAAATAAAAAATGATGAAAATATATTTTTTCTTGAAAACGGCGGTGAGTGCTTCAATAAAAATGTCAGAACGGTGTTTTTCATAAGTTCCTCATACAGGGTGAATTGAATTTGATGCTTGACAAACCGTAGAGGGCGAGAAAGAATAAAAAATGGTGAAAATATATTTTTTTCTTGAAAACGGCGGTGAGTGCCTCGATGAAAATGCCAGCACGGTGATTTTCATAAGTTTCTCATACAGGGTGATCGAAATTTGATTCTTGGCAAGTCATACAGGGCGAGAAAAAAATTAAAAATGGTAAAAAAATATTTTTTTCTTTGAAACGGCGGTGGGTGCCTCGATGAAAATGCCAGCACGGTGATTTTCATAAGTTTCTCATACAGGGTGATCGAAATTTGATTCTAGACAAATCATACAGGGCGAGAAAAAAATTAAAAATGGTAAAAAAATATTTTTTTCTTTGAAACGGCAGTGAGTGCCTCGATGAAAATGCCAGCACGGTGATTTTCATAAGTTTCTCATACAGGGTGATCGAAATTTGATTCTTGACAAATCATACAGGGCGAGAAAAAAGTAAAAAATGGTAAAAAAATATTTTTTTCTTTGAAACGGCAGTGAGTGCCTCGATGAAAATGCCAGCACGGTGATTTTCATAAGTTTCTCATACAGGGTGATCGAAATTTGATTCTTGACAAATCATACAGGGCGAGAAAAAAATTAAAAATGGTAAAAAAATATTTTTTTCTTTGAAACGGCGGTGAGTGCCTCGATGAAAATATCAGCACGGTGATTTTCATAAGTTTCTCATACAGGGTGATCGAAATTTGATGCTTGACAAACGGCGGTGGGTGCCTCGATGAAAATGCCAGCACGGTGATTTTCATAAGTTTCTCATACAGGGTGATCGAAATTTGATTCTTGACAAATCATACAGGGCGAGAAAAAAATTAAAAATGGTAAAAAAATATTTTTTTCTTTGAAACGGCAGTGAGTGCCTCGATGAAAATGCCAGCACGGTGATTTTCATAAGTTTATCATACAGGGTGATCGAAATTTGATTCTTGACAAATCATACAGGGCGAGAAAAAAGTAAAAAATGGTAAAAAAATATTTTTTTCTTTGAAACGGCAGTGAGTGCCTCGATGAAAATGCCAGCACGGTGATTTTCATAAGTTTCTCATACAGGTACATTTGCAACATGGCATCGAACCGTGCAAATGTGTGTGAAAGTGCTCTGAAAAACAAATCCTGTAATAAGTGTAAAAAAAACCTAGTTAAAGGTGTAAAGTGCACCCTATGTGAGAACAACTTCCATACAAGCTGTGCGAGAAATATCAATGTCAAATTTCTCAACGAAGACATGGTAATATGTTGTCCCTCCGAAAAAGTTAGCTGTGATAACGACCAAGCGTTTTTTGATGCGATGGAAAACCTAGCAGGCGAAAGTAAGGTAGTCGATCTTAATATTTTTAATTATATTGTCAAACAAAAAGATGAAATTATACAAGAACTTCGCGACAAGATAGACTTGATGCAAGAACAAATTGTTCTATTAAAAGGAATGACGAATGTTTCACCCGTAAAAAGTCTTGGAGACACCAACAAAAAACAAGATTCGGGAAAAAACGATTCCCACATAGCAGATAAAGAGAATGTGTCCAGGCCTGTGAATCTGAACCCTCCCAACAGCGTTGCCGGGTGTTCAAAAATTTCTGATAGTTTGACTATTACCGAAAAACATGTTTCACAACCCTTGTTGCAACTTGCCACGCAACAAAAGTGTGAAGAGATTATCAATTTAGCGAATAACATGGAGGCCAACAGCAGTGACTGGAAATTAGTTAAAAGAGCAAAACCCAGAAGAAAACTGGTTGTTGGAGATAATAGTTCCATCAAAGTCAATGGTAAGGAACTGAAGGGCATTCCAAAAATGGCCTGTCTACATGTATACCGGGTTGATCCCACGATGACCGCGGAGGAGCTGAAACAATCTCTAACTCCCCATTTCTCTGAAGTTAAAATTGAGACTCTAACTTCCAAGCATCCAGATATCTACGCTTCTTTCAAAGTCTCAATTCATGAATCCCATTTCGATGCTGCAATGGATCCAACTAAATGGCCCAAAGGAGCATACGTTCAACGCTTTTTAAACTTTCGGAGGTCTGTGAACCCTCCTCCAACTTAGGTGATTTACCAAAGCAAGTCGACCTATTGCTGCTAAATGCAGAATGTTTGAACTATGACAAACTCGACTACATCAGTGCTGAATATCTAACTGACAAATATCAACTTAATTTTATATGTTTGACAGAGACCTGGTGGTCTGAAAGCTCTGTAAACTCTTTTCATTTTCCTGACTTCACTCTTTCTAACTCATATCACAGAATCAATTGTATAGGTGGTGGAGTTGGTATATGGTCCCAGACCGATTTAGATGTAACTCCGTTGAATTTACAAGAGTACTGTATTGAAAAAAACATTGAGATTTGTGGTGTCCTGTGGAAAAATAATAATACTAATATTCTCATTTTGACTTGTTACCGCTCTCCATCAGGAAACTTCGAAATATTTTTTGAGAAAATCTCAATAATTCTTGACAAAATATGTGTTCCTAAAACAGTCATAATATTAAATGGAGATTTCAACTACCATTCGATGAGTTATACCAATTCAAATCGCTTTACACAATTATTGATATCATATGGTCTCAGCCCCAGAATAACCAAACCTACTAGAATCAGCCAGACTTGTCAAACGACGCTCGATCAAATATACACTAACCTACCAGAGACCAACGAATGGGGTGTACTCGAAAACTGTATATCTTCTCACCAAACTGTCCTCTTCTCAACGAAGCAACATCGAACTGATGAAAGATCTTCATATAATCATAGGAGAATAATAAATGACAC